AGGCAGCTTTTGTTATATTTAACGAGCCTAGGAATAACATCTAGGACAAGTTTGTCTGGGTCACGTCGGTTTCGAGGATATATATCACTTGCTTTAACAAATAATGACTTATTTTTAAAAACGAACAAACCAGTTGCATAAATGTATAGTGACGGGAAGGGTAATATACCAAGTCTTTTAAATAGCGGTAATTAAAATTTTTTTTGGGCAACTAATGCTCTATTTCGGTCAGTACCATTACCCCATATAATAAGTCCATAGCGTAAAATAGACTCTACGTATGCGTGGTACGTTGCAATTGCTGTTTTAATATTTGTAATGTTTTTGACTTGTTTAAGGACATATACAAACTTATTAATTCTACTGCATACGTTATCAATTTGTTCTTTCCAGTTTATATTTTCATCTAACGTTATTCCCAGAAATTTTGTACATGTAGCTTCTTTTAGTTTTGGTATATTAAATTTCATATTATGATTGGAATTGATAGATTTATTAAATTGTATGTAGTGGGATTTATCTAGATTAATTTTCAAATTATTTATGTCAAGCCATTCTATTAATGTGTCAATTGTATTATTAATGTCATCTTCATGATTTCTAATTGTATTATTATTTTTATTACATGTCACAATAATTGAAATGTCATCAGCGTATAGAATACATTTATGATTCGTGATGTCAACAATGTCATTAATATATAATAGGAAAAGAATCGGTCCTAATATACTTCCTTGCGGAACACCGAATTTATTATATTTATAAGATGTCAATTTATTGTTTTTATCTATTTTATCAATGATAACACATTGTTGTCTACCATTTAAGTATGACGATAACCACTGAAGTACTAGTCCTCTGATCCCTACTGTCTCTAATTTTTGCAATAATATATCATGTGCAACAAAATAAAAGGCCTTTGAGAGGTCAAAGAATAATCCTGTTGTCAATTGTCTATAGTTTATGTAACTAAGTATTGTTTTTACTAAAGAAAACATGGCAAGTGAAGTCGATTTGTGTTTTTGAAACCCGTATTGTTCGCTTTTAATTATCTGGTATTTATCACAGTAATCAACTATTCTTTTATACATACATTTTTCAAAAATTTTGGCCAAAATAGGTATCAAGGTGATTGGACGGTAATTTTGAATATCATCCTTTCTCCCTTTTTTAAATACAGGGTTTTATGATTGAAAACTTTAGTGCTTCTGGGAATTTTGCTGGCAGACCGAGTTAGGTACATCATACGCTCGAAAATATTTGATGATGCAGAACTCGAACGACTACGGGGACTATAGCTGAGGATGAGGCTCCTAAGGCCATAGACCAGCAGCCACATGTGGAAGTCGCCATGGATCTTCCCGCTCTGGTTGATTCAGGCGATGATAGAATGGTCACCCACGAACTAGAGCAGATGAGGAGTAAATTGGAGGAGGCGATTGTGGAAACGCGCTCTACACCTCTCGAAAATCGACCGCGACTCCCGCGCATAACCCTAAGCAAGCGGAATCGGAATGTCGTGACGGCCTTGAACCCATTGCTGGCAACCTTTTTGGAAACTAGCCAGGACCTTTGCGAGACGGACCCAATACTCTTTGGTGCTGATTTGGCAGTTTGCCGCATTGTTGGTGCCAAACTTCCCACGTCTGAACGTGCTACTGGGCAAAGTAGCACTATCCCAGCCTGGAAAAGAAGGATCGAGGACCGTATTTCAAAGGCAAGGGCCGTCATCGGCAGACTGATAAGCTTCAAGTCGGGCAATAATAGACCGAGAATTGTGCGCACCGTAGGGTTGCGTTTGCTGGGACAAATATCTGTTTGTCCCAGCCGGATATAACGCAAAAACTGACGCGCATCGACGACCTGAAGCAGAGAATCGATGCTTGGGAGAAGCGGATTCGGCGATATACCGAGAAGTCGACACGGTTCAACCAGAATCGTCTCTTCCAGAGTGATCAGAAGAGGCTCTATGAATCATTGGAGCGACCAATGGTACGTGGAACGGGCCCTGCACTGAATCAGGCCGACACTGTCGCATTCTGGCGCGCCCTGTGGTCAGAGCCCGTAAACCACAGCGAGGGCCCTTGGATGGAAGTAGAGGTGAGTCAGTGTGCGAATATAACGCACATGGTCCCCGTCATCATAACGCCGGATGACGTAGCTGAGGCGGTCCGTAGGGCCCCGAACTGGAAAAGTCCGGGACTCGACGGACTGCATCACTACTGACTGAAGGGGTTCGTGGTATGTCACGCTGTGCTCGCCCTTCAAGAGGCTCTCGATCAAAAGTCACTCCCGAGCCTCTTCACTACTGTGATCACTCATTTGGTTCCTAAAGACCTAAATTCCACAGACTCGAGCAAATACCGCCCCATAACGTGTCTACCTACCATATACAAGACACTAACATCCATTTTGAGCGCGAGAATCACTCGTCACCTGAACTCAAATCAGGTGATGGTCGTGGAACCAAGGAACCACTAAAAACATAAAAGGAACAAATGTAGGTAGAATGGTAATCTTCCACTTGTTTTAGCTGTATAAAGTAGCGCACAGGCGACTAAGAGACATGAGTCTGTAATGCTAAGAGTCCCACTGATGTTACTATGCCCGTTGGGGTATTTTCTGCCGACTTCAAAAAGGAGTCAGCACTCAATTCGACTGTATGTTTGATTTCTTTTAAAGAGTCATTTTATTTTCTTATTTTATTTTAATTGATGATTAGATTCTCTTTTCAAAAAACAATGCACGCCATTTTCCGTGCCTGCTTTCTCAAAACAGTATTTATTCTAGACATATTCACTGTTTAAAGTCACAAACTTAATAAAAAACAAATTAACAAACTCAACCTTAACAAAAAGCACCAAAAAAATTAACAGCAATAACAATACAATTCAGAACGCGACTGTAGATTGGAAGTGCGCGAGGCGTCGAATCAGAACGGGGTATGGAAAGCGTCTGGAGAGCCAATTAGCGCATGCGAACGATACGCACGCCCGCACCGCGAACCGCATACTACCCCATGATTTTTGACTTATGCGCAATAACGGTCACCGCTAGACTTTCGTGCCGCTACCTATACTTTGATTCATTTTTATTTTTCTTTGTTATTTTTTTTCTTTTAGATTGTACACGTTTTAATAGTATTTTATTTATTTATTCTTTATTGCACTAAATATTTGTACAAAAGGCGAGCTTACTGCTATATGGCATTCTCTACCAGCTAACCTTGGGTAGAACAGAGAGTGAGTTTGGGCAGTTAAGTTGTCATGATATAATTCAGTTCAAATATACATATATACACATTTATACATATATATCTCAATAAATAAATAAAGACATATATATATATCTTTATTTATTTATTTTGGCAGGTATTGTTCGCAGATCAACAGGCAATTTGTTGCAGAGGGTAATTGAAGTAAGTGTGAGAGAATTTGACACAGACCCAGAATGGTGGAGAGTAGTGGATAGGAATAAACTTTGTGAAGAACGGAGATTGAGAGAATGAGTGTCGCTAAGGAATTGAAATCTTTCTTTTAGAAAAAGGGGCGAGGAAGGATCATTAAGAACTGAAAACAGAGTGGACAGGATTCGGAAATCTCTGCGCTGGCGTGTAGTCAACCACTTTAACTGAGAGCGAAATTCTGAAATGTGATCATATTTGCGCAGGCCAAAGATGAATCGGATACAGTTGTTAAGTAACCTGTCCAACCTGTTTAACAGCTCTTGAGAAATATTAGTTAGACAAACATCGGCATGGTCAACTAATGGAAGAATTAGAGATTGGACGAGAAGACGTTTAGTTGAAGGAGGCAGAGAGAACTTAAGGCTATAGAAGGAACGAAGTATGCCTGTGACTTTACGAAAAACCTCGGACACCTGTGATATCCAACTAAGAGACGAGTCGATAATTAGACTCAAATCATTGACACTATTTCTGAAGGGTATAACGCAGTTTTCACAGTAAATGGATGGTAGTTCAGATATGTTAAGTTGTGACACCAATCGACGACTACCAATGACGATAGCCTGGCATTTATTGGGATTTATCGTTATACCGAAGCGCTGTGACCAGTGTGATATACGTTGTAAATCACGATTAATAGCTTCGATAGCAGAATCAATTTCAGCCAAGGACGCTTGTGAGTATAACTGGAGATCGTCAGCATAGAGGTGGTAAGAACATTGAAGGTGGGTAGTTAGAAGATTGATAAACACTGAAAACAAGAGAGGAGAAAGAATGCCGCCTTGCGGTACAGTCGGAAAAATCCTGACCAGACCGAACAGCCTGTTGGCGACCGCGAAGATTTGAGGAAAACCAGTTCAGTGCTGACGAGGCGAAATTTAGTCGTGAAAGTAATTCAAGGAGTAAGTCGTGATCGACACAATTGAATGCGTTTGAAAAGTCAATAAGGACAAGAACAGTCAAAGATGACCTCTCCATGCCATCTCTAAAGTCTTCTGTAACTTGAAGTAATGCTGTGGTTGTACTGTGTTCCGGGCGGAAGCCAGACTGATATATATTAAGGAAATTGCATTTTAAAATGAAAGAGGTGACTTGTTCTATAGTATTTTGTATATTTTCTCAAGGTAAGTTCGTCATATTATTTTGTTGTAAGTTCTCCCCACCATTGTTTTTCTTTTTGGCTGAAAGCCGTGTAGCCGATGCCATAATCAATGAAAAAAAAACCTATTTTCCGTTTAGTTAATACAAAGTCTGAAGAGACGTTTTCTTTTAGACTAAAATAAATAACTATAATAAATTTCAATTACTCCCTTAATGATTTATAGTACATTTTTAAATAAGAGTAAAATAAATTCTACTAAATTAAATACATATTTCAAAAATAAATATTTAATACTAATATAATATTTTTTTGCAATATCGATGCAACAAAACGTTATTTAGTGATTGATTGTCAAATTCTACTAGCAATTTTCCGAATAGGCGTTTATAAGTATTACTTTTTTAGAAATATTACCGCGGGTTGTCTTTTAAAATGTTGGCTTTAATCAATCGTATCCTTGATTGGATTAAAAGTTTGTTCTGGAAAGAGGAAATGGAGCTCACGTTAGTCGGGCTTCAATATTCTGGGAAAACAACTTTCGTTAACGTCATAGCCGTATGTATTACTACAAAACAATGATTTGTGTACTTTTCGCTTCGTTGTACACTTTTTTGGCCTATCCCTTACATTATTACATTTCTTTTTTATATGTATCGATATGGGTCTCCGGCTTTTGATTTTTTCTTCTCATAAACCTTACATATCATTTTTAGTATTAGCTCAAATTTAATATTCGTTTTTCTCTGTGGTTATTTTATCCCAAGTATTATCTTAATTTTCTTCATATGTACCCTAAAATTGCACAAATAATCTTATTTATAATCCTCAAAGTTTCATGCTGATTTATAACATTGTTTTTTTCTATAAATTGCATTATGTGCTAAAGATTTAATAATTCTGTACTTATTCATAATTTTATATAATTTAGAATAATATTTCTTCTAAATCACTTCAAACATGTTTAAATTGATCAAAATGCTAAGTGTACAATTTTAAGTTATATTTAACTGCTCAAAATTTGTTAAAATTAATTGATAAATTTGATAATAATCAACATTAAATCAGGGTCAAATAGTGATAGACATTTGCATAGCAGCTTTATGCTTATAAAATATTTTAACTTATAGATCTTGTGACTCACAATAAAACTGCTTGCTGAGTACAAAGACATATTAGTCAGAACATTGTTTAATATATTGTCAGACAAAAGTAATAGAGGTAAATCACCTGAAACAGAGTGAAACAGGTGATTCAACAATTACTAAAAGATTTATGATGAAATAATGTGATTGAATAGATTATTATTTTATTTCTTGACTAATAGTTGCAATAGTTTCACATGTAGATTTTGACTATTCTTTATTTATTGTATAATAGTGGGTGGAAACATCACCAGATTTATTAAGATTTTTTTTAATTTCTTCATTGCTCCTTTAAATAAACAATGGTTTCCTGCCGGCATTCTCTGCCAGTCCCCATTTTTTTTTCTCTACATTAGTTAATTACATATCACTCCTAGTTTACCGTATCACTTCTTTCTTGATGAGATGAGTTGTGAACATTAATTTTTCATAATTCATATACATTTTTTCATACAATTTTATTCATACAATTTCAATAATTGAATATTAACTCTTTTAGACTTTTTAGACCTAAAAAGATACTGAGAATTAAGTTGAACCAGAATTAAGTTTAGAAAAATCAGGACAAGTAGCCATAGCAATGATCTATTTGATAGGGCTACCATAAATTCTGGTAGAGTTATTCTGTTTCATGATGAAGTTTTGACCTTGGTTGTTGGTTGTCGCTCCCGAGGCCTATGCACACAATGTGTATGAGCGCGACTAACAACAATCAAAGTAAAAACTTCATCATGTAATAGAATAACTATACACTTGGAAATTTCTCAGTAACAAATGTCCTGATTGGCATTCCAACATTTATGCCTTAATCTCATAAGGCCAAATAGCACATTTGCATGTGGAGCATATGAATTCTAATTGTAAGCATTGTAGTTTTATGGCACTGCCACATTTTGTTTGCGTATCACTGGAGTTGCATGTTTCTACAACACAGATACATAGTTATTTAGATAAGAAAACTCTTGATAGGCTGGTAGTATGTTTCATATAATGGTTATAATAATATGAATTCATGTTAGGTTTTTGAATCATGTTTAATAATTTAAAATGCCAAGAAATTAAAACTCTGTTAAAACTGCTATTAAATCAGAATTGAAAAAAATATGAGTTATGTAGCTTACTGTTTTAACCGTATGGTGAAATAGGTGTAAAGTTACAGCTTTGGCAAATTCCTAGAAAATCTTATTTTAAAATATCCAGACTGGCTACTTGAAGTAGAATCATGTTATGAGACTTATAGTACACTAAACGTCAACCTACTCTCTTAAACATAGCAATTATGCCAAGCACAACTTCTTGCTATGAGATACTATTTTCCTGAACTGATGATGATATTGAGAAGTTTATAATAATGAGGTTGTTATCTAAGGTTATTTTGTTTGAAAGGATTACACAGCTCAAAAATGCAGGCGAAATTTATGGTTTCCTGTAGATGGTGACGTATTCAACTCATATATTATGCCAGATGTAAATTAAATAGTCTATGATGGGAAGCGGTGCAAGTCATATGTTACTGCGACTGTCAATTTGTCAACCAAGTGTGTTAATCATGACTAATGATCTTGTCTATGGTACCAGGCTATATCCAGCTGTGGGTTAATGTAGGATGATAAATAAAAAGAGGAATATGATATCAAGATTTTATATTTGTAATTTAAATATGCATCTATAAAAATATTATACATTACTTTGCAGTCTGGACAATTTAGCGAAGATATGATCCCCACTGTTGGGTTCAATATGCGCAAGATTACTAAAGGAAATGTTACCATCAAGGTGAGTGCAAAAGCAGTTACAAAAATGTTTATCTACAAAAGCTATATGGTGGAAGAAGGTAATAGATTAAGAGAATAAAAGGTAATGGATTATTTTGTCATACTTTATACCAACGGTAGTCAAATAGTTGCCATGTGGTGACAGCATAAGAGAACTCATCACCCTATTTCATCCCGTGCATGTCGTAAGAGGTGGCTATCAACGTCAGAAGAATTTATGACCTTCAATAGTTGAGTTTTGATATCACCATTTATTGTGTAAATCAAATATAAAATACCAGCGGCATCTAAGATATCCAGTACTGTGATATACAATCTGCCATAAATTGATTATGAAGAAGAAAACAAATATAAATCTGTTTTTTGCAGGCGGGGATACATAAATAATAGTTAATTCCAATTTTCCATTCCAGTGTAAAGCAAATAATAATAGCTAAAAAAGCTATACTTTCGTTTACAAATATTTTATATAAAATGTAATGCAAAATTTCTTATAATTACAAATTATATTTTTTTTTATAGAATATTTTTGACAAGCACACGGTCCACCTGATGGTAAGTGGATGCTGTGGCTAGACGTTTACATTTATCTTGGATTAAGGATTCAAATGCAGATGTGTTGCCACTCCTGAGGATTAAGATGGAATGCCTCATTGCCAGTAAAAAGGGTCTCCAGTTCTCTAAACTCAATATACAAAAAAATTAAACATTGAGAGATATCAGCACATTAAAATCAATTCTGTAGTATGTTCTTTTTTATAGAATAAGGGTGACAAACGAGCACACAGTCCACCTGAAGATAAGTGGATGCTGTGGCCCATAGACATCTACATCTATCCTCAATTAACAATCAAAATGTAGATGAGCTGTCACCACTTAGGACTATGATAGAGTGCCTTATTTCCCGGGTTTTCAGATCTCTACACTCACTATACAAAGCACAGCAGCATTAAGCTGCTATTTGATTCTTATATTTTGTGAGAGTCCTTACCCGGTCAAACTAATCCATTCGTTGTTCAACCATGATATAGCTGCAGCATGACTCATATGAAATAAGTTAATGTTAATATTCATAAAAACGGCCCCCAGTCCCCGGCGGCCCCGCTATTCCTGGCTACGGTGGCGACCATGGTAACGGCGGGGCAGGGGGTGCTAAGAATCTCCGGTGAAGGTTCGGTTGCCACCTTAGACGACTCGACCTGGCAACGTACAACGCACGCACCCTGAGGACTGACGAGAAGATCGTGGAGCTGGAAGAAGAGATAGACAAGTTGCGCTGGCATATTATAGGATTATCCGAAGTCCGAAGAGAGGGGGAGGACACGGTAATCCTCGAATCCGGCAACTTGCTCTATCACCGGGAGGGCGACCATCTGTCCCAAGGAGGTGTCGGATTTATCGTCCACAAGTCTCTCGTTAACAACGTTGTAAAAATCGGGAGTGTGTCGACGAGGGTTGCGTACCTTATACTCAGAATCACCAAACGGTATTCGCTGAAGGTCATACAGGTTTACGCACCAACCTCGGCACACCCCGATGAGGAGGTGGAGGAAATGTATGAGGATATCTCTAGAGCCATGCATTCCTCCAAAACCCAATATACGGTGTTAATGGGAGACTTCAATGCAAAACTAGGCACAAAAGAGAACGGTGAGCTGAAAGTAGGGAAATTTGGAATAGGGCAACGGAACCCAAGGGGCCAGCAGCTGGCCGACTTCATGGAGAAAGAGGGACTCTTTATGATGAACTCTTTCTTCCAGAAGCGGCCCCACAGGAAGTGGACCTGGTCGAGCCCCGACGGTTCCACAAAAAATGAGATTGACTTCATTATGACGACCAGACGACAACTGTTCAGTGATGTCTCCGTGATCGCGAGGGTGAAAACTGGTAGCGATCACCGAATGGTTAGAGGCACACTGAACCTAAACGTTAAGTTGGAGAGGTCTCGTCTAATGAAGTCAACGCTCCGTCCCCCTCGTGCTCTGTTCCAAAGTCCCGAAACCTTTCAGCTCGAGTTACAAAACCGTTTTCAGTGCCTGGAAGACTGCAATGAAGTGGACGATATGAATGACAAGCTCGTGGAAACTGTCCATGCGGTTGGAGCTAAGTTCTGCAAGACCCGCCGCAGAAGAACACAAAAACTCTCCGATCACACTCTTAATCTCATGGCTGTTAGACGGGAGATGAAGCTACATTCTTCAACAGACTTGACAGCATACAGGCATCTGAACAGACAGATCTCCAAATGCATGCGTCGGGACTTACGCAACTTCAATACAGCTCGTATTGAAGAAGCGATCGAGCGGAACCAAGGCTCCAAAGTCTTTGCCAGAGATCTGTCTGCCAGAAAGAGCCAACTGTCAAAGCTGAAGACAGAATGTGGCAGCATCGTTTCCGGGACACCTGAGATTTTGAGTGAGATTGAGAGGTTCTATGGGCAGCTGTACACATCATCGTTGGAGCCACACGCAAGTGTGAGTAACGATCCAAGAGCGAGTCTCATCCGACACTATTCCGAAGATATCCCGGATGTCAGTCTGAGCGAGATTAAGATGGCTCTCCAGCACCTTAAAAACGGTAAGGCCCCAGGCGAGGATGGAATTACAGCGGAGCTTCTGAAAGCGGGTGGAAGACCGGTACTTGAAGTCCTTCAGAAGCTCTTTAATTCCGTCCTCCATGGTGGCATTACACCGGAGGCGTGGAGCAGAAGTGCGGTGGTCTTGTTCTTCAAGAAAGGTGACAACGCTCTCTTGAAGAACTACAGACCGATTTCCCTTCTGAGCCGCGTCTACGTGCTGTTTTCGAGAGTCATTACGAATCGTCTCGCGCGCAGACTTGACGACTTCCAGCCTCCCGAACAAGCCGGTTTCCGAAAGAGCTTTAGCACCATAGACCACATACATACCCTTCGGCAAGTTGTACAGAAGTCCGAAGAGTACAATTTGCCACTATGTCTGGCGTATGTGGACTATGAGAAAGCCTTTGATTCCGTCGAAATTTGGGCGGTGCTGCAGTCCCTTCAGCGGTGCCAAGTTGACTGTCGGTATATCGAAGTGTTGAAGTGCTTGTACAGTAGGGCTACGATGGCTATCCGAGTACAGAACCAGAGTACGAAACCTATCCAATTGCAGAGAGGTGTAAGACAGGGTGACGTCATATCCCCGAAACTCTTCACCGCTGCATTGGAAGACGTTTTCAAGCTTCTGGACTGGAAAGGATACGGTATCAACATCAATGGCGAGTACATCACTCACCTTCGATTTGCCGACGATATAGTCCTTATGGCAGAATCGCTGGAGGACCTAAGCACTATGCTCAATGACCTCAATAGTGTTTCCCAACGGATAGGTCTTAAGATGAACATGGACAAAACTAAGATCATGTTTAATGTCCATGTCACACCTATGCCGGTAGTTGTTGGGAACACTAAGCTCGAAGTTGTTGACGAGTATGTTTACCTGGGACAAATAGTCCGACTGGGTAAGTCCAACTTCGACCGAGAGGTCAATCGACGGATTCAACTCGGCTGGGCAGCGTTCGGGAAGCTACGACACATCTTCTCGTCAGACATACCTCAAAACCTTAAAACGAAATTGTACAACCAGTGCGTGTTGCCAGTGATGACTTACGGAACTGAGACGTGGTCCTTCACTGCTGGCCGTATGAGGAAGCTCAAGGTCGCTCAGCGAGCTATGGAGAGGGCTATGCTCGGAGTTTCTCTGCGTGATAAACTTAGGAATGAGGATATCCGCAGTAGAACCAGAGTGACCGACATAGCCCAACGGATTAGTAAGCTGAAGTGGCAGTGGGCCGGCCATATAGCTCGAAGAACCGACAACCGATGGGGAAGAAAGGTTCTCGAGTGGCAGCCTCGTACCGGTAGGCGAAGTGTAGGGCGTCCCCCCACGAGATGGAGTGACGACCTGGTAAGACATGCAGGAAGTCGATGGATGCAGGTGGCTCAGGACCGTGTTTTGTGGCATTCTTTGGGGGAGGCCTATGTTCAGCAGTGGACTTGTGAAGGGCTGTAATGATGATGATGATGATAATATTCACAAATCATTATATACTATATGTATTTTATTAAAGGATACTAGTAACACAATTAATTAATTAATTAATTAATTCGTTTTCGCCCGAAACCGAAACCGAAACTGATACTTATTTAGACATGTTATTTTTTTAATTATAAACTGAAATGTGGTATATTTTTATACATATACAGATAGGTAATGTATGTTAATGAAAAATATTAATTGTTATTACAATACTAAAATAAGTAATTATATTGCTACATGACAATAGTCATGTAGCAATATAATTATATTTATTTTAAAGTAAAAAATCTACAATTTTTTTTTAATGTTCTACTAAGCCAGCGCTTATCTACGATCCCACCTGATGGTAAGTGGTGATGTAGCCTAAGATGGTGAAGCGCACTGACTTAACAAAAGCCTATTCACTCTTGCCTTGAAGACACCCACACTGTAATCGGATGGAAAGACAGATGCTGGCAACTTATTCCACTGCTTTGATGAACGACGTGGCGAACTGTTTGGTTCGAATGCGTGGTAAGTCAACGACGAAAGGATGGAGAGAGGCGGAACGTCTTGTTGTCCGATAGTGGAAGGGAGAGGGAGGAATTAAATTATGCAATTCTTGCGCACACTCTCCGAAATGCATCCTGTAGAAAACTGAAAGGCTGGCTTCTTTACGTCGGTGTTCGAGGCTGGTAAGATTGGTTTTAACCAAATCCGAGTCACCAATAAGCCTCTTAGCACGCCTTTCCACTGAGTCCAAAGCTGCTAGGTGGCATTATGCAGCACCAGCCCATATATGGCAGTAATACTCCATGCACGACCGGACTTGCGCTTTATATAAAGTAAACAGCTGTTCCAGCGTGAAGTATCGCCGCACCTTTGCAAGGACTCCCAGTTTCCTTGCAGCTGCTTTGGCCTTGGACTCAATGAACCGTCCGAAGTTCAAGTTTGAGGATATTTCAAGCCCTAACAACTGAAGGCGGTCGGTATATTTCAGTGATACATTTCGGAAAGAAGGAGCCAAGGTGAGCTGGCTCCTTTTTGCAGTGAAGAGACACGCTTGTGTTTTGGAGGCGTTGAACTTCACAAGATTGGCATCGCCCCATTCGGAGACTGCCTGTAGTGTGAGATTCACACGCTCTACCGTAGCTTCTCTTTCGGACTGGATTTGATCCTGACTGGCCCGAGGACTTGGTTTAACGTTAAGAATTACTCTTTTTGGTATATTTTGTAAAAAATCCACACTTACAACCATATAAAGTTACTCGCTAATTGAGAACTAATTCAACCATGATATAGCTGCAGCATGACTCATATGAAATAAGTTAATGTTAATATTCACAAATCATTATATACTATATGTATTTTATTAAAGGATGCTAGTAACACAATTAACATTCTTATTAGCCACTGTAAATGTAAGGCCACTGCAAGTGTAAGCCTACTATATTATAACGAGTTGAATGTAAATTCAAGAAAAAGAACTTCCTTCTGCGTGAATCCCATATCTCTGGTGCCCTTTGACCTACAGGACCCAAATTCAAACTCGACCGAGCTACTACCTCAAGGTATCCACATACCAAATTTAAAGTCAATCGGTCCAGTGGAACGGAAGTTATCGTGTCGGCATACAGACTAACAGACTGCCAGCTAAAACCATTAACTTCCTTTCAACGCTACGCAGAAGGAAGTTAATAATTATTGACCTACCGAAGATTCGGTTTCGGCAAGTTTCGGCAAAAAAATCTAGTTTCGGTGATAATTTCGGTTTCGGCAAAAAATCAGCCGAACCTTCGGCGACGCCGAAACTCAAGTGTTCTTGGATTATCGTGCGTTGTTCGGAGGAGTTCGTGACTCGTATATTACTCATAATTATATTACGTTAAAGCTCTCATTGAATAATACATTAGTTTTAACAATATTGTGAACACAATAAAATATGTTCTCAATTAGCGAGTAACTTTTTATGGTTGTAAGTGTGGATTTTTTACAAAATATACCAAAAAGAGTAATTCTTAACGTTAAACCAAGTCCTCGGGCCAGTCAGGATCAAATCCAGTCCGAAAGAGAAGCTACGGTAGAGCGTGTGAATCTCACACTACAGGCAGTCTCCGAATGGGGCGATGCCAATCTTGTGAAGTTCAACGCCTCCAAAACACAAGCGTGTCTCTTCACTGCAAAAAGGAGCCAGCTCACCTTGGCTCCTTCTTTCCGAAATGTATCACTGAAATATACCGACCGCCTTCAGTTGTTAGGGCTTGAAATATCCTCAAACTTGAACTTCGGACGGTTCATTGAGTCCAAGGCCAAAGCAGCTGCAAGGAAACTGGGAGTCCTTGCAAAGGTGCGGCGATACTTCACGCTGGAACAGCTGTTTACTTTATATAAAGCGCAAGTCCGGTCGTGCATGGAGTATTACTGCCATATATGGGCTGGTGCTGCATAATGCCACCTAGCAGCTTTGGACTCAGTGGAAAGGCGTGCTAAGAGGCTTATTGGTAACTCGGATTTGGTTAAAACCAATCTTACCAGCCTCGAACACGGACGTAAAGAAGCCAGCCTTTCAGTTTTCTACAGGATGCATTTCGGAGAGTGTGCGCAAGAATTGCATAATTTAATTCCTCCCTCTCCCTTCCACTATCGGACAACAAGACGTTCCGCCTCTCTCCATCAGGGGTGTCACTTCCACTATGGAAGGTATGGAGCACTCCATACCTCAAGTTTTTCAAGGTATGGAATTCCATAGCTGAAATTAGGAAATAAATCGCATATTACTACAAACCCCATATAAATAAATCGCAAGCCCTTAAACCTCAATACCCCACATCTTATAGTTCAATAAATAAGTTGAGTATATACACTGCAAACTCTTAAACCTTAATACCCCACGAGTAATGCGAACAAATTTGAAAATCGCGCCACCATTTTCCATACCTCAGATTTTTACAAAGTGACACGCCTGCTCTCCATCCTTTCGTCGTTGACTTACCACGCATTCGAACCAAACAGTTCGCCACGTCGTTCATCAAAGCAGTGGAATAAGTTGCCAGCATCTGTCTTTCCATCCGATTACAGTGTGGGTGTCTTCAAGGCAAGAGTGAATAGTATTAAGTCAGTGCGCTTCACCATCTTTGGCTACATCACCACTTACCATCAGGTGGGATCGTAGATAAGCGCTGGCTTAGGAGACTATTAAAAAAAAATTGTAGATTTTTTACTTTAAAATAAATATAATTATATTGCTACATGACAATTTTAGTATTGTAATAACAATTAATATTTTTCATTAACATGCATTACCTATCTGTATATGTATAAAAAATATACCACATTTCAGTTTATAATAAAAAAATAACATGTCTAAATAAGTATCGGTTTCGATTGAAAATCCGGTTTCGGTCGGACACTAATAATAATGTTACGAGCTTGGGGTTTGAGACCGGTCGCGGTCTATACCGGCCTTATATAGGGCCTCAGATAGTTCAAGGATCTTCTACTTTAGAAACATCTAAAATGTTCAAGTACATACCGGTCCTGATTGACTAGGTGTCGATAGTTCTAGAAAATTCTTCCATGGAAATTTCTAGAAGGATCTTGACTCTCCTAGTTCTGCTACTCGATACTAGAGGGCGCTAGTGGTAACTAGTGTTGCCATGTACCAGGCATTAGCGATGGGCGATTATTGCAGAAAAAACAATCTACTGAATCGAAAATTGTGCTATTGCGCATTTGATTGTCGGTTTAGTAGTTCCTAACCATGTTTATTCGAATAATAATCGACAAACTACTAATTGCTCGCATAATTCACCCTGCAATCCGCCGCTATGTAATACATGCGAATGTGCGCTGTGCGTCGATGCAACGTGTGCTTGTGCGTGCGGTTAGTACTACTCGTATTATTTATTCTGTGGTGCGGTGAACTGCGGAAGGCCGCGCGGGGCGGTGCGTGCGGGACAGTGTTGAATGTGTCGATTGTTTTTAAGTATTATCTATTACATATTTTAATTTGTTTACTTTATTTGCTTATCGACTTTTTTAGAGAAAGGTCACGCGCGGGTGACCGACTTGACGCAATGCCTAAAAATCATAATATAATGTAAACATTGAATTATCAAACTTTTAAATACGCTTAGATTAATAGGACTTTTTAATACTAGAGTGTCCTGTACCTATTAAAGTATGAAGAAATGTTTATTGAATTAAAATTTCATGCGTAAAATTTAAGCAATACAATTAACATCATCAATTTAAAAATAAAAATTCAATACAAAAGTAAGTAATATTTTGAACTGTTAATTTTATCTGTTAAAAAATTAACAAATACTTAACTTTTAACAAATAAATAAATTTAACCATTAACGCCATGTCTATAATGGATATTCCCTCAATCGATGGTTTGATTACAATACAAAACAGACAATTGAATAATCTATTGGCGCCAAGCGCATACCTAATAACTGCCGTAAGGCCGGCCACATACATACGGAATTCCGTTTCGAGATTCCGTTTCGGAATTTCGAACGGTCGGCCACACACAAACGGAATCCCGTTTTGCCCGCAAAATATCGAACGGAAAACTACCGTACGTGTGTGGCGGGTCATAGATTTTATATGGACTTGCTGCGTTCGGGATTCCGAATCGGAATATCGAAACGGAATCTCGAAACGGAATTCCGTATGTATGTGGCCGCCCTAAGTAAGTCGTAACGTAAGTAGTGGCGCACAGACTTAGCGCACCGCACGCCCGCCGCACCATCTTTTGTAACTACTTATTTAGTAGTACGCATAATGGGTGCGCTGCGCTACAAATTAGTAGTTAAATTGTTAATTTGTCATTGTCGCCCGCCGCACGGTGTCGATAACAATCGACCGAGCGATCGGCTAATTCGATTAGTTTTAGTAATAATCGCCCATCGTTACCAGGCATTAATGGTGGCGCTCAACAATACGCTCTACAACAACACAAACATAAAATGCTTGTGTTTGGAGTGGTTATAGTTGAATGATGGATTCCTCTCAAGACCGGAGTTTGTAGTCTGCACCCTTAATTACTACTGTTGCTTCAATGTTTATTTGTTAGATTAGAATTTTTAAATAATAATAATAAAAGAATTGTACTACAGGTGCTGGTTACCAAAAAACTGGTACTGGTACCAAAAAACAATCGTAGTATGATGTTTTGTTTGTAAATCATCTGAGGTTTACATTTATATTTTTCAGGTATGGGATATCGGTGGCCAGCCTCGATTCCGCTCTATGTGGGAAAGGTACTGCCGAGGGGTCAACGCCATTGTGTAAGTTCTGGTTTTTAAACTTATTACAGCCGGGTTCAAAAGCATTGATGCCGCAAGGCAATAAAGAAAATGCCCCAAATATATTCATCATAAGGATAAACAAATGTTTTTTACACGTTACGTTCTTTGTCCGTAATGAACTGAAATGAAATTACTGAACTTTCAATGAAATTTTGCACACTGTGTGCAATTTGGTCTAACTTGAGAGATAAGTGAACCTCAATATTTTTTTATTGCGAATTTAACTCTTAGCCACCTGACGTGTATTTCTATACCACTATCACATGACGTCGGTCATAGACCGCTTGCGTATTTTCTATTTTATGTTTAAGTAATATAAAATATAATATTAAGTTAAAGTCACTTGTGCATTTTCATAATATTTACTCATACAACAACTTAAATTGTGCAAATTTATGACTTCATCATATCAAAAATCAACACTTAGCATAAGTTTAACATTTTACGGTAAAAAATCTAGGAACTTCGAAAATCTGAGTTAAAAAATCTTTATAATGTAACTATTTTTACTTATTTGCTAAAAGTTCGACATATTACCTGTGAGATGAAATAGTTTTTGGCACGAAACAATCAATTTTTTTTTTAGCAAAGTACAAGGCACGAGCAGTCAAGATGTGGCGACAATCAGTACTCATTTTTTACTGCATTCAATACAAATAAAAAAAAACACAAATATGCTGTTTGCGTTTCTTCCTGGGGTCACAAGTTTTTTTTTTTTTTTTTTTTTTTTTTATAGAATAGGGGGCAAACGAGCATGCGGCTCACCTGATGTTAAGTGACTACCGCCGCCCATGAACAACCGCAACACCAGGGGAATTGCAGATGCGTTGCCGGCCTTTTAGAAAGGTGTAAGCTCTTTTCTTGAAGGTTCCTAAGTCGTATCGGTTTATGTTTTTCTTTTTTCAAGTTTTTGAGGGGTTACAGCTGATGACGTACTAGTTATTTGATAAATTTTTAGGATTCGATAAATAGTGCACTAAGTTTCCTTGCAATCCAAAACTGTGCATGCGGCGTTCCAGATGAGGTTTTATTAGGTCTTCTGCCAATTTTTTTTTTATGAAAATCAGTCGTTTCGCTGAGTTGTTGCAGGTTCATGTTACCAACAGTGTATGCTTTCACTGAAGATATCAAGTATTCTATAAGATATTGCCATCGGCCAACGCTGCGTTCGTCTAGACGTGGAGTAAATTGCACATTTCTGATCTAGCATATCAACGCCACCCTTTATACTATTGTAAAACGTGATCATTTACGGTTTTCCCGCATTTGTATTAATAGTTGGCGTGTGGTGCATGCTGGACCAACACAAGCACAGATTTGTTTGGTTTTGGTACAAAAGGTTTCATCAATGCAAGCTATGGAACAGACATCTTTACAGTTTTGAATTAGCATTTCAGACAGTTGCGTTATTGGTGCATTGCTGCGGCGTACAATTCGGGTATTTGCATCATTAAACCGTAGACAATTGAGCAGTACTTCAGACCTGTTTTTGCTCATTATGCAGCGATAAATTTCCCTGCCTGTGCGATATTTGCTGTACCAGTTCGTGTAGTGAGTGTGGTTTTCTTTGAAAATGGCAGTATAGTAGAGTACACCAATGAAGGCCCTCAATTCAATTACACCCTAATCAATCAAAAAAAAGAAGAGAAAAGAAAAAAGTTTACGTGGTGGCTCCTTAATATTAGCAGATAAATCATTATTATATAAAGAACGTAAGGATATTGTGAGCCTCTCTGTTGAACGAACTGTAGAAATGGCTTGTGTCGAGCTCGAGCACCTCATTGTTGTAAGTGTTTACAGACCCCCATGTGCTACTTATGACCATTTTGAAAGGATTGTGGAAGAAGTTTTACTCAAACTTAGTAAACAGAACAAGTCTGTTGTAATGTGTGGAGACTTTAATATCAATCTCCTTGAAACTTCTTCCATTAGTATTAAGTTTAGCTCATTGTTTAAATCGTATAATCTTGTAAATTTATTCTTAGAACCAACACGTATTGCTGGGCCTAGTGCGACCTGTATAGATAACATTTTTACAGATGTTAAGCCCTTGCATAAATCAATTATTCAAAATTTAAGTTCAGATCACTGTGGAGAGGTAGTATCACTACCTTACATACACAAAAAACAGAAAAATAAGAAAGTTGTGTTTGTTCCAATAAATGAACATCGCTTGGAGAGGTTTAGAAGTAATATAATAAAAAGACTTCCATTACTTTCGTTTAAAAATAGTGCTAATTATTTGTATGCTACATTATTTGAAATTATACGTTGTGAATTTAGTAGAATATTTACTTCTAAAACTTTCTCTTTTAACAGTCGCAAATCATTTAATGAATGGGCGACAGTAGGAATTTATAAAAGTAGGCGAAGGTTATACGAGCTTTATGATGAAAGATCATATAATAGTAGTGTTATATTTAGAGATTATATTATAAAATATTATATTCTAAAATATTTAAAAAAGTGTGCTCCACTGCTAAGGCTTTACATTTAAGCAACAAAATTAAAACTGCATCCGACAAAATTAAAATGACCTGGAGAATAATAAATAGTGAAACGGGCAAGGTCAAACCGCGCAACTCGGATTTTCAATTGAATATTAACAATAATTTAACGCAATCTGATCAAGAAGTTGCTATGGCTTTTGAGAAACATTTTACTGATGTTCCTTTTGACAACGAAATCATTAAATTCTTCTCCTACTGTCGCCGAATCATTGCTCAAACAAAATGTAAAGGCTTGTTCAAATACTTTTAAATTCCATAGAGTACTGCCAAAAGATATCGTTTAATATTTTAAAACTATTGATGTTAAGAAAACGGCAGACTTATGGGGGATTTCCGTTAAAGTTATTTTATCTATAATAGATACATTAGCACCTTATCTAGCCACTATATTTAATATAAGCGTCGAATCTGGTGTGTTTCCTGATTTAATGAAACATAGTAAAGTCATACCTATATTTAAATCTGGTAGTACATTAGACCCCGCCAATTTTAGACCAATTTCTGTACTACCAACATTAAGTAAAATTTTTGAAAAAATTATTTTAGATCAGATGTTAAGTTTCTTTAATATTAATAAATTGCTACATAATAATCAATTCGGTTTTACAAGGGGTCGCTCGACAACTGACGCTGGAGTTGAGCTTATTAAACATATTTTTTGTGCATGGGAGAATTCAGAGGATGCTTTGGGTATATTTTGTGACCTTTCCAAGGCCTTCGACTGTGTTCACCATGAGACATTAATCAGGAAGCTACAGTACTATGGTGTCAAGAACACAGCGCTTAAACTTATTATTTCATATTTAAGTAATAGAAAACAGAAGGTTATTATCAATGGTAAAAGTTCTTCCGGGTCACCTGTACTAATGGGTGTACCTCAGGGCTCGATTCTCGGCCCATTCCTGTCTCTGGTGTATATTAATGACTTACCTCACCTTGTAGGGGATAGTCATGATATAGTATTATTTGCTGATGATACTTCCTTGATTTTTAAACTTAAACGTCAATCATTTAAATGTGACGAAGTGAATAATGCTATATCAAAATTAGTGCATTGGTTTAACGTTAATAATCTGCATTTGAACGGAAATAAAACTAATTGTGTTAAATTTACAACAACGAATGTTCAAAATCTGAATACCAATGTGTTTTTAAATGGGGAGGAATTGAGCCCTGTTGTATCCACTGTTTTTCTTGGCATCACTCTTGACGCAAAGCTCCAGTGGGGCCCCCATATATCCAAATTAGCAAGCAGACTAAGTTCTGCAACCTATGCTGTAAAAAAGATTAGAGGTCTCACTAGTGTCGAGACAGCTAGATTAGTTTATTTTAGTTATTTTCATAGCATAATGACTTATGGGATTTTGCTATGGGGAAATGCGGCTGATTCAGAAACTATTTTTGTTTTACAGAAGAGGGCCATTAGAGCTATTTACAATCTAAAACCGAGAGAGTCTCTTAGAGATAAATTTAAAGAAATTAATATATTAACTTTGGCCTCTCAGTATATTTACGAAAATTTAATGTATGTTCTCAAAAACAAAGATAGTTTTAGTAAAAGAAGTGATATACATTCTGTAAACACTAGGAACAAACACAAGCTAGTGATACCAGTTTCTCGACTCCACAGAGTCAGTAATTCATTCTTGGGGCAATGTACCTTGTTGTAATACAACAAGGTCCCGGAAAGTGTACAGGTTCTCTCTATTACCAAGTTTAAATGTTTTATTAAGCTGAAACTGTATAAAAAGGGTTATTATAGTATAAATGAATACATGGTTGATAATAACCCCTGGGAATGAGGTGATCGCTTCCAAGCAGTTTCTAAAATAAATTTTGTAAATAGTTCGTAATCATTTATATTGTAAAATTTATTTAAAAAAAAAGTCCCGCTGGGTTTCTTGCTGGTTCTTCCCAGGACAGAGGGTTTTTTTCGAACCAGTGGTAAAGTAAAAAATGACTTTCAATAAGAATTACACATGTAATGTATATTGAATAAAAAATATTCTATTCTATTCTATTCTATTCAAGAACAGCTGTTTCGCTCTGAAAATTAGATCGATTTTTTCGTAATTTTCATTTTTAATTTCACCTACAGTGAAAAACAAGCTCCACAAATCCAGGGGCTTCTTATTTTCGTGCAAAATACCTCGAAAGTTAGGTTTGAGACCGGGTGGTTGCTGTATGAAGTTATGCTGCAGAGTCCTTGATCTTGAAATCGGAGGATGGGCAGACCAATGAAACCGGTTCTTACCAAAGTAGTTTCGGATTCTTGCCAATGTAACATCGTCGTCGGAAGATGAATATTCCATCGGCGGCCTGATGTCGATTTATTGTTCAGTAAATTGAAGGTCAGGCCCATCACATTCCACTCCTGACTCGAACTGACATGATTGACCTTCAATGAAGTGGACATATTCTACATCACTGCAATCTTCACTCGGAAGTTCGGGTATAGTCCATAAATTTTCCGAGTCCGATTCAACTTTCTCTAACAATCGACCTATATTCTCATAGTTTGAGAGCCAGTGAGCAACATCTGTCCAAAAACTTTGTATGAATGTAAGTTTTCTTTAAAAGAATATCTTTCAAAGCTTGGTTATGACGACACTGAATCATTTGTTGCTATTGTAAGCTAACACACGCACGCACGCAAGCACGCACGCACGCGCACACACACGCACACACATACTCACACGCACACACGCACGCACACACACGCACGCACGCACGCGCACACATACGCACACACACACACATTCACACGCACTCACGCACGCGCACACGCACACACACACACACACTCACACGCACACACGCACGCACACACACGCGCGCGCACACACACACACTAACGCGCGCGCGCACACACACACACTCACACGCGCGCGCACACACACACACACACGCGCGCGCGCGCGCACACACACACACACACACACACACACCAGGAGTCCTGAAATACAGGGACACCCTAGTTTGGGCACATGAGTAAAGAAACCGACCAGAGGGGAAGCTACATACAAACGGCTCGCTACGATCACACCCATACATAGCGCAGAGATGTGTGCGTGAGCTCTCACCAACAGGTTCACCGACGCTCCGTCGGGGTACAAACCGGTTTGCGCCGGTTCAGTCAGAATATGAATGGCCATGAAAGGGCTGTTTGTTAGTCGTGTGTTGCCGGTTAAATAAATAGACCAACAATATTTCGAAATTTTAAACATCAACTAATTTATTAAGTTTTTTTGCAATTATTAAATTATTAGATTTAAATATTTTAATTAAAATAATTAAGAATTAAGTTATTATAAATTTATAAAGGTAAATTATAAGTGTTCTGTATAAGCAAAAATGCCTAATAGTTGAAATGAATAATTCTAGAGAATATAAGGATATTTCCTTTTTTTTTGTACCCGAGAGATCAAGTGATGAAGTCGGTCTCACCTACTTGAAACGTTAGTCAGACTAACCTTGACAGTGCCGTAGATGGCAGGATATCCTACCCACCCACTTTAGTATAGAGCTAGGTTGCTACTTTGGGAAGGATATAAGCTATTTTATGCGAGTCGCGACACCAGGAGTAAATACCACTGCATTATGATTGGAATACAATCGCCAGACATTGGTGGGGGTGGCGGGATTGGTGTTGGTGGAAGTGGTGCTCGTGTTGGTCGATAGTTTTGCTGATGGTGTCAGTGGTGGTGGAGGTGGTAGTATCATAGGTAGTTGTAGTTGGTAGTGGACCAACAGTGACTCCATCAACACCACCACCATCACCACCATTACTATAACCACCACCACCGCCACTGCCCCACGACAACCATCACAGCCATTACTACCACAACCACCACTTACTCCAAAACTCTTGATTTCGAACAATTAATGTTACATTAATATCAGTTATAATTAATACACATGTTGTTTTATGCTATACAATATTTTTATTTTTTCCTTAAATTTTTCACATGCATCATGTGACAACCCTATCAGAATAGGTATACATTTTCGACGTTGTTAAGAAGCTTCCCCTCTGGTCCTTACTCTTTACTCTGTGGTTTGGGCTCGAGTCCGCCATAAAAATATATTTCATATTTTCTTAAATTTTGCTAGTAGACCTATCTATATATTTTTGTAGGGGAGAAAGAAATATAATTTTCATTTTCATTTCATTTAATTTTATTTTATTTTCATTTCATTTCATTTCAATGAGCGGCAGACTTACGGTATTACAATAAGCTTCACGTTTTTTTTTTTTCAGTTAATACCCTATACCAGAGGTACATGAAATAGGGACTCTTTAGTTTTTAGTTTTTACTGTTTAGTTTGTACTGTTACCGAAATAAAGCCAGTAATTTGGCTTTTAGATATATTCTGCATTCTTCTCCTGTAGGATGATAAAAGCACGGGCATTTTTTCTTCAATTCTGGCACAGATACTCACATTTCAGCGCTTATTTCTCTCATGCATCTTCTCTGAGCGCTTTATTATGGTAAAAACTACTTTTGCTATTCCTCAGCACGTCCTGTGAACGAACTGCTGTTTAGCAGTAGAAATGAGTAAGATGGTGATAAACTTAGAGATAAGGATATCCGCAGTAGAACCAGAGTAACCGACATAGCGCAACAGATTAGTAAGCTGAAGTGGAAATGGACCGGCCATATAGCTCTAAGAACCGACAATCGATGGGGGGAAAGGTTCTTGAGTGGCACCCTCGTACTGGTAGGCGAAGTGTAGGGCGACCCCCCCATTAGATAGAGTGACATCCTGGTAAGACATGCAGGAAGTCGATGGATGCAGGTGGCTCAGGAGCGTGCTTTGTGTCTTTCCTTGGGGGAGGCCTATGTTCAACAGTGGACTTATGAAGGGCTGTAATGATGATGATGATGAAGATGGATCCTACCCGTACAGTATAAAATATTATATTGTAAATTAATGTTTAAAAAAAGTTCCGCTGTGTTTCTTGCTGGTGCTTCCCAAAACAGATATTTTTTTCGGAACCACTCGTAAAACTTAATTGACTCTCAATAAGTATTAAAATGAAAGTCAATTATAAAAATATAAGACAAACAAAAATGCAGAACTGTTGCCTGCTAAAAATAGTTTTATTTATTTGTTTATTTTAATCTTCATTGAAAATTACAAAACAATGCAAGATCAAGTTTCCTGTTAGGGATGGGCAAGTGAAAAATATACATCGATATATATCGTATCGCTATTTTAAACAGTATCGATATATATCGCATGATAAATATCGATATATCGTCATGTTTTGCATGATATACTATGATAAGGCCCTAAATTTTTATTACTGATAGTTGAACGACGAGAAAAAACCACTACAGCACATGAATGTTTTTGTAGCTGCTTTTATTGCTTAACGTTTTGTCGAATATTACAACATTTTAATATATATCGAAATTGATACTCTAAAATAAATATCGAATATCGCGATTAAATCGAAATATCGATATTTTTATGAGAATAAATCGATATATCGATATTTTTTCTCAAGACTATTTCATGTTATATCACAGGTACATGGTGGACGCGGCAGACCCGGACAAGATCGAGGCTTCGCGTAACGAGCTTCACAGTCTGCTGGAGAAGCAGCAGCTCACCGGGATCCCAGTGTTGGTGCTGGGCAACAAGCGGGACTTGCCCCATGCACTCGACGAGCACGGACTCATCGAACGAATGTGAGTACTCGCACTCCTACTCACCTCCCACCTCTACTTTGTCTTCTTTTCAATGATAAATTTCCGACGTAGCCGTATACGTAACAATAGCACCAACATTTCTATCGCAACTCTTTCTCGCCTATCTCATCCCCAATTAAAATTTTACTAACGAGATTTAATGATGATTTGGTATCGCAGTGACTATTTATTTGGGCTATAGGCTTTTCACACAAAACAAACTTATATTGTACGTTGAAATTTATATGTGATTTTTATTTGAGTGTTGGCTGTAGATTGGCGGTGTAATCCACCATCTCAGATGGTCTCAGGCGGGAAAAGAGCATACTCGACAAGTGGTAAAATTAAAAAAAAATTACAACCGAATTTGCCCTAAAACCTCAAAAGTGAGGAGGCCTGTGCCCAGCAGTAGGACCTATATAGGCTGTAATCTTTTAACTTTAACTTTTATAGCTCAAAGTACCGACAATCATTGAATCCGCTGACCAATTAAAAAAAGATTTCATGCAAGTGCATACACTTGCGTCTTTAACTAGTCAGTATATTCAGCAAGTCTAGTTGACAAACACTTATATTTTCATGTCGTTATTAGGCGCTTCTACCCATCTCCTGGTTTCTTTCCCTTTGTCGCCTCTTACGACATCCACGAGATGATATGTGGTAGTGGATATTCTTACACCGCCACTACACGGTAAACACAACTACAGTATCATTTGTTTATTCATATGCTTAAATTGACTTTTCAGGAATCTATCGGCCATTCAGGACCGCGAGATATGCTGTTACTCGATCTCGTGTAAGGAGAAAGATAATATCGACATAACGCTACAGTGGCTTATCGCGCACAGTAAGTCGGGCAGCGCGCGCTAATTATACGCGACTCTCCAACTATCGACAACTCACGCAGTTAGGGTTGCCAACGCAATATATATCATACCGTTTTCAGGCTCTAAAACAAAAAAAAATTTCATTATACACAGTAGGACAATAAAAGGACATAGTATTAAAAATATATACCGTGGAACAACGAGCCTAGATATCTTCATAAAGATGTAATATACCTTTTTTTTTTACCTGAAAAATAAACACAATTAAAAGCGCTTCTGATAGCATTGCTAGTACTAAAGGCACAAGAACAAGTTCTGATATTTTAGTATTAATTATTATAAAATACAGATGCGTCTTTAAATGGTTCCGTATATATCCAATTTCATTACTAATTTCGGAAAAAATTATGATGTGCTCTCTTACTTATAACTTTATATATACTTTAAAGTATAGTTCTTATGGTAAAGAATTTGTTTTTTTTTTTGTTATTTAGGGTGGATTGAAAGTGATGAAGCCTTTCTTTTAAAGAAAAGAGAAAATTTCCGAGTAGTGGGGCACTCAACATGATTTTATGATAAAAAAATGGTAGAAAATATATTTGTTCAAAAAAGTTGGCAACCCTACAGGCAGTTGACGCAGGCGGAGTTTGCCTGCTGCCGCTACAGGCACTTAACCTTACCTTATTAGCAATGTTCGCTGTAAGCTACGCACGTTATTGTATTGGGCCTAAATCACTGCGTTTTTAACACGCAAATAAAACTACTTACAAATGGAAAATATGTTAAAAAAAATAATTTGTGCAATTCGCGACGTCAACCTTTCGTTTGAACTGATTAAATTTGAAACTAATTTTCAGTAAGTAAATTAAACATAATATGTTATCTTTTGAAACAGAAATATATGTGCATAATACATTGTATTCGACATTATTTCATCTCTTTAAATTTATGTTTAAAATTAGTTACTATTTCAACTAAAATCAATTAAATTCAAAGACTAGCTTAGTGCATTCCTTACTAATATTAGATGTTTTCAAGTGCAATCAAATGCTAGAGTTCATTTAATTGTAAATTTGCCCATTACCATTAGCGTTCCAACGTCGCCTTATGACGGAGGTGAGATGTAAGGTTACCGTACGGTTTGCAGCCGTGTGTACATTCGTGAACGCTACACGTTCAAAACACACTGTTCACAACTCCTCTAGAAGGCAGTATAGAATAAATGTGAAACTGGTAAAGCGTCGGCGGAGGTACAATTTTCGTCGTTTAGAATTACAATTAACGTGCAATTAATTTTTATATAACTATATAGGCTTTGTTGTTTTCTGGATTTTATTTTTTATTTTTAATAAAGTGATTGATAAACACCAACAGCTTTTATTGAAATGGTAAATATTGTATAATTCTATTCTATTATTGTAGAGTATTTATAGTAGGTATTTTTGCTCTTGCAGTTTTCAGATTTAGGGGAATAATTTATTTAAATGAAATTACTCCAAATGTTTACATTTCATGCAAGCTGTCTTATGTCTATAGAGATGAAGAATATAACTTAATTTTGTTACTAGTTCACCAATCAAAATAGATGTTTTATTGTAATTCTTTACGGAGATACTTTGTAATTAGTCTAGGAATATTATTAAATCTTAGCTTGAGTCGGTGCACTCTCTATACGTGTGACAATATATCGTCTTTGAATTGATCCGGTAACGTGTTTATAAAATCTTTTCGATGGTGCCAATGACTGATTTATGGTAATCATTTGGAATACGAAATATTGCCACATGAAAAAATGTACAATATCCAGAATATAGTAACTAATAGATGTAATTTAAATTACTTGTAAAAATTGCCCAAAATTTTGTTTAATTTTTTTTTAATATAAATATCGTATTTATCTAATAGTGGCTATATTGAGGATTGTGCGAGTACTACTTACGTTATAATATTTAGATTTTCTGATAGTGTTAGCATTATATTAATATACTTCTCATATTGTTAGCTAAAGATTAAGTTTGAAGGTATATAGTGTGAGAATAGTGTTACTCCACATTTGCGGTACATAAAATAGCAAAAAGAAAATTCTCAAAATCTTTTAAATTATTATAAAAATACAATGTTTTACGTAATACCTGTTTATTTTTGATATAATTTCGAGGTAGTATATTTCATAATAATATAAATAACTGATCTTGAGTTATTTGATGCACTTTCGAAATTATATCGGATATATGGCTTATAACTTTATATAAATCTTATATGTATTGAAACTATCAATACCATTTTTTTTTTCAATGAAAAAGTGAGGAAACTTAAGTAAATGTTTGACTTAATGTTTCTTAAAATTATTATTTAAAACGCTGTGATTAAATTTGTTTGTAATGTGACTGTTAATTTTTTGTACTGTCCTTGAATTGTATTGTGAGAACCACTTTAGAACACATTATGTTGGATCAAGTGTAGGTATTTTATATTAATATATTTGAGATTGAGTAAGGAAGAAAGTCACTATATGTTTCAGTAAATTGCAGAATAAGCAATTTATAAACATTATGTAACATATCTGTAGGGATGTTACCTGCGATATTACAAAAAAAATCGTCAAAATTATATGTCTGATTTTTCAGTTAGTTGTAACCCTGCTAAATTAAGCTGCTCATAGTTAGAAGGAACGAAGGAAGCAAAACTATTTTTGTTTAATTCGAGTAATACAAAAGAAAATAGTGAAAATCATTAATGAATATATATTATGTTTGTAATCAATCGTTTATATTGCATCGGTGCGTTTTTATCACTTGGCTGTAATATATTTATCTTTTTTCTATGATAAAGACACAATATAGCGGCGAGGAAATATTATTAAATTGTGTTAAAAAATGAATTTCTTTTTCTTTTAAATGATGTGATCATGTATCGAAGAAAGGGCCATAGTTTTAAGAGCAGTGCTGAAGATTAAAATCTGCGAAAATTACACTTGGTATACGTTTACGGTATATAGGTATTTTGTTTAAAACAAAAGTTTAAAGGGTAAATTTGATCTATTTACCATACTTTTTTAAAGTAAATATTTTATAGAAAGTCAAATTGAAATCCCTAAATTCTGCGAAAAGTACTGCAAAAGTAAACATTCGTAATTATTTTAAAAAAAATAGCACACAATACTTAAGTACAAGGGTACAGAAAGATAACTCCGCAAAATCTTTTTAAATAAATAGCGACTCTTGCTACGACGCAATAAAGTGCAATTTAGCTCGTACAGCGCAGAGTGCCTAATATTATATTTATCTAAACGGTGCCTCTTTCTATCTCGTTACTCTTTATCCAGCGTAATGTTGACCAGATTCAGTGTCCCAAGCCTGAATAAAGTATGATGGGAATACTAAAACCTAAACTAAAATAAAAAACTTTAACAGTGGTAGAGCCAAGCTTTTGCTGTCGCACGGATGGGCCAGCTCGAACCGGGGTGGTACCACGACCTCACAGAATACCAGCGTGAAGTAGAGGTTTACCTCTGCGTTGCGCTTGGTGAGTGCAGGTGGCCGGAGGCCCAATTACCCCCCCCCCCCCCCCCCATCAACATGGTAGTGGAATTAAATAAAAGACTACCCCAGGAGGGTCCAGCACTCCTGGAGAATCCCTCGCTGAGCATCCACGACCAAACTACTTCACTCCTGAACGGGGGGGGGGGGCAAAATTCTGCTCGCGACTAAAGCTGCTCGGGGCAAGCGGAGCAATACAACCAAGGCGACCCCTGTCACGCTATCCGTGAATTTTTGCAATATCAGGGGACTTCATTTCAAACTTAACGCTGTCCATTACCATCTAGAGACGGCGAAGCCGGCCTTGCTCTTTTTAACCGAGACTCATGTCCTCTCCGGCTGATACTTCATATCTCTCCTACCCGGGGTACAAATTGGAACACTCCTTTGTGCCCCGGGCTGGAGTTTGCGTATACGTCAGAGAGGACATCTGTTTTCGACGCCTCGGCAGTCTTGAAGGTACGGACCTGTCCATCCTGTGGCTGCGCGTAGACAGCGACGACCATCCCCGCGTCTACGGGCGCCTCTATAGATCCCATAGCGGTAATGCCGACACAGACCGACTCATCGACCACGTCCAAATGGCTGCAGACTCCGTGCTACAACAGGTCCCATCCGCAGAGATCGTGATACTCTGTGATTTTAACGTCCACCACGCTGAATGGCTTGGTTCTCGTTTGACTGATCATGCGGGTAGATCTGTCTATGACTGCTTTGGCATACGGTCGAACACTACTGGTTACTTCACCTACGCGAATCCCAGATGTGGAAGACTATGTACCTTCCCTCTTGGCCCTTCTGATGACCTCTCATCCGGACGGATATCAGGTCTCCGTCGATGCCCCTCTGGGCTTTTCGGACCATTGTCTGATCCGGAGTACGGTGCCACTCACGCTCCAAACTCAGTTGTGATCTGCATCTTGCCGCTGTGTTTGGCACTATAGGTCAGCTGATTGGGACGGGATGCGGTCTTTTTTTCCATCCTGCCCTTGGGGGTGGGTTTGCTTCTTGCCGGAAGATCCCAGCGTTGTTGCAGATTCTGTTGCTGATGTGGTACTTCAGGGTATGGAACTTTTTATTCCATCCTCTGTGGTGCCCATCGGAGGCAGATCCCAGCCATGGTTTGGTCGCCCCTGTAAAATAGCATTACGCTATAAGCAGAAGTGCTACCGGGCCTGGGTTGACGCATCAACGTTTCGGGATGTAAACACCAGCACACTTAAAACGAAGTATAATTCCGCCTCCAGGTCCTTCAAAAGCGTCACTGCCAAGGCAAGGTCTGAGCACATCGGCAGAATTGGCGAGAAGATAGTTCGCCTTCCTTCGGGAACCCGTGCATTCTGGTCTCTCGCCAAGTCTGTCCAAGGGAACTTCTGTCAGCCATCTCTTCCATCTCTGCACCCGACGACCCTCTGGACGACTCACTGACCCATGCCGCAAAGGAGAAATCCGATCTGTTGAGCTCTCTTTTTGCTTCTAACTCGACTCTAGATGACGGGGGGAA